TTGGCTGAAGGGCAAGTTCCTGAAGAAGTCAGAGCAGTCCAGTAATTATTTTAGAGGCACAAAACCTGGGAGGAAGGGGTGGGACTTAGATCGCCATGCGGCACACTGTGTAGAAGGTCCTGTTTGTGGACGTTAAGCTGTAAGCCCATGAAGGTTTACAATAATGGCTGCCAGAGCCTCTGAGGATATACAGATGAGGCATATACTGGTCATAAGTAATTTTTATTAAGCCTCAAAATACTGAGCTTGGTCACTTTAATTTTTACTTTGGATACTTTCTAATAAAATTATAAGCTCCATGAATGCCAGACCCACATCTGGCTGTATCAATACTTGGCATTTGAACTAATAAATGTATACATAAACTGGTTTGTTCTAAGACCAGATATTCTGTATCCTGTGGGCCAGGCTGAGCAGCCACTAACCACTCATGATTATGTAAGAACTGAGTATGTAGAATACATATCAGACAGGAAATCAGCACTTGGAACTAAAACCGCCTGCAAACTGGCCCGAGACTCTTGGCCCTGATGGCCTTCCTCCTGCCGGCCACATCTCATCTGTCCTTAAGCATCCTCTTCACCCCACCCTGCTGGCTGTGAAGCCTGCGCTGATTCGTTGTCTCGTCCTCCCTGACTCTTCATTTACATCCACGTTAACTTAGTGTTTTGTTTTCTTTTTAATGTGTGATACCTGGTTTCCCAAGTCTGGGTATAAGCAACTTGAGGGCTTGTCTTCTGTTTATAGTGTTTTCCTCCCACTTTAACAATATGAAAGATGTTGAATGACTGAGGGTAGGAATCTGGTTAATCCTCCGTCATCTGAATTACTTCGGGTGGAGACAGTACACGAGCGCCTCCTTCCTCTCCTTGTTGTGGGCTCCTTTGCTGAGCATGGGTCCCAGCGTCAAGTGGCCCCAGGATGCCTTCCTGCCTCACTGGCTTTGCTGCTCCCCACTTGGATCAAGAGAGGTTGGCTCCTACCAGCTTGGTCACCTCAACCAAGTAAAAACAAACCTAACTTCAGCTTCCTCTCTTGTAACGTGAAGTTAATAATTTGTGTTTAACAAAGTTTCTGAACAGATTAAACAAACAACATGGAAGCCTCTAGATGGGTTCCTTGGTACATAGGAAGCCCTCAGTGAGTGTTGACTGGATGAGTCTGTCTGTGGTTAACGAGGTCAGGAAAGAAAGGCAACTGGAAAGCTTTCAGCATTTCAGGGTATTGTGAAGACCCCTTCTCGGTATTTCACAAGCACCTGGTGTGTGTCAGCATTATGCCAGGAGCGTTCACATTTACAATTTCATGTAGTCATTGCAGCAGGCAGGCTGAGCTATTACTAACCGCCCTAAGAGATACGCATTTCTCTTGTTCTGTTGGTGGTGGGAAAACGAAGCTCAGGGAGAGGAGGTAACTTGCCCGAGTTCGTACCTGTGATAAATGGCAGGGCCATATTCAAGTCCAGTTCTCCCAGAGTCCAGAACCCTTGCCCATACCATTGTGACACGTGGGCACCGCTGATTAGGAATCACTGGTTAGCCTGTCCAAACCAGATGTTTTATCGCTCTTGAAATATCTCTGTTCTTTCCCATAGCTTTGTGTTTTAATCTGTAAGACATATGTTAGCCAGACCTATACAGAATAGTTAATAAGTCTATTTTTAAGTCAATCTTGTGTAAGAAAGTAGTTTTCGATGTTGTATTTGTTTTCTGTTGAGTACAGGTAGGATGCTAGACCGATATTTAGAAAGTCTCATATTCTAGTCCATGCCTTTCTCTTGGAATCTTTTTGTACTTTGCTTTTTCCATCCATAAAATGCCAGCATAATAAGTTCAAGGTTATCTGGAATCCAGATATCTAGAAAGCTCAGAGACTAGAAATTCCTTTCACTCTGCTTTTCTGAGGGAGGAAATATTCGTAAGAAGTAAATGACCTAGTATTTACCTTTTCTGTCTTGCCGAATACAGTGTCCTTAGTGGTACTTACAAGATGTGAAACAGTGAAGGAGGCACTGTAAGAGTTAGGAAGATAAATAAGAATCCTCTAGACCTTAGAAATTTATTCTAAATAAGAAATTCTGGAGGAGGTCTTAGGGTGAGCTTAGGATAAATTCTACCAGTTCTCTACAGTTCTATAAAACTGGATCTCAGAATACTTGGTCTCAGAATTTCCTATACAGTCTGAAAAATGATTAAGGATTTCTACTTTATCTTAGTTTAAAAAAACTGTTAAAGACTCCAAAGAGGTTTCTTGTTTGTGTGGATTACTTCTATCAGTATTTACCATGTTAGAAATTAAAACTGAGAGATCTTTAAAATGTAGATTTAATTTATTTAAAATAATAATAAACCCTTTCCACTTGAGATAGATAACATACTGAAAAACAGGTATATGTTAAAAAAAAATTTCAAGATAGATTGTTTTACATTTTTGCAGAGCTCTTCAGAATGGCCCTCTGACTTCATATACAGATGGAGTCTCATGCCTGCTTCCACGTTCAGTCCCCTGTGACATATGGTCTTAGTTGAAATGTATGATAAATACGTGACCTGACACATTTATGCAGTTGCAGAAACAAGTATCTTAATTGCCTTTTTAGTTAATTATAACACCGCGCATCACTCGTTTGGAAGGTAATCGGTTCACTGAGACATGCAGAGCTTCCAAGTGTGGACACAGCTCAGTCTGCATCATCCAGACAATCTTATTCATCCCTGTAACCGCCAGTCTCATCAGGGAGTTCTCTGAATATTGTGACGCTTTCCAGCTCACAGGGCCAAAATTCTAAATTTTTCTCCAACACTCAGATTTTACTAGTGAAAACAAATACTGCAATTGTTTTCCTTAAAGGGACAGATGCAATAAATCTTCGTGAAAATGTCTACTCAGTACCCAATGTGAATAACCATATATCGACTGTCAGTCATCATTTCAAATACAAGTGGTGTCTATGAGAAAGGAGCTGGTTTGGTTGGCATCTCAAATGCTAGCTCTTCAAGATGTACCTCCATTCTGCCACGCAGTATTAAAAAGGCATGTGCTCAGGGGTTGAGATTTAGTAAGATTAATATTTATTACTGCTTAATCAGTAACAATTTTTTTTAACTGCAAGTGCATGGCAGTGGCAAAGACAGTGGCTAGTAGGGAAGTTTGACACCCACTGCCTTGCTTCTAGTGAAAGAGTTAGCACTTTAACCTGCCATTTTTTTTGCTGACCATCAGTGCTAATGTCAGCACAGCGAAAAAGGTGCAAAGAGCATATGCCGGTGTTAGAAACATAGTTTTGACACCTGAAAAGACCTCTGAGATTCCCAGGGGTCCAGGAATCACCCTTTAAGAACCACCACTACAAAAATGACATAGAATTATTGAGGGCCTTAGTGATACCCCTGGGGCATTAGAACATCCTAAAGTGTTTTCCAAGTCATCAGAGCTTAAATTAGTTATTTGTTGGGAATATATGTATAGCATATAAAGTGTCTATCAATTACTCAGAATTGTTTATTTAAAAAGAAACTTGTTTACCAACCGTTTGGGAGCAATAGAACATGCTGTTGTTTTAGTAGACATTGACAGAAAAGAATTTTCGATGCAAGAAAAAAAAAATTTGCCTTTAGAAGGGAGAGTTAAAAAGTAGTGTGCTTCACTACGTCTGTTGACTATGAAGCTATGTTTGTAGAGTCATGCTAATGCAAGTAAATAGATCTGAAAATATTGACCCTAACTCTGCCACATGGAGTAGAAAATCATGCAAAACTTACTCTCCTTCCACTTGTTAGCAGAGCCCTGCAGAGCCGTGGACATTTAGACCCAAATATTACCGACTCTTCCTTTAAAAAGTTTAACCTTAATGTTGCTTGAAATCAAACGATATAATCTTATATATGAACTATGATTTTTTTTAAATAAGAAAACAAATTTTTAATCTTATCTATGACTGTCAGAAAGTCATATTTTGGCCATTCAACTAAGCTATTTTTGAACTTAAATGATGAAGTATTTATGAAACAATAATTATGGGTTTAGCTTTCAAAATGAAATTCAAAGATAGATTGATATGAATTGGAGATATTTTTGCAAGTAAAAAAGTACGCTGCAACCTTAAGACCCGCCAGCTGCTGCCCTTCCGAGGGGTGGAGCAGGAGGGCGATGACTGGGTGGGCGGGCATCGTGAGGACCGTGGGGAGCTGGGTGTCACTTCCACAGCTGTTTGCTTTGTGCTGAGCCACTCGTCTGTTAGGTGTGTGTCCTTTTCTGTGTGTGTGTTTTGCAAAATTTTGAAAGTTAAAAATAAGATCTATATGGGAAAACAAGTGCTTAGTACAAGCACAAAGACTTTGGTGACCTGGAGAACAAAGCCCCTCTGGGGACTTAATGCAGAACATAAAATGTCGTCCCCAGTGGTCCAGCTCTGCTTGCCAGCTCTCCAGTGTGTCGGCCATGAGGGGGGAGAATTCTGCATCCGGTTAATCAATTTGAGGAACTAATCCTGGGCTGTGAATGGAGTGAAGGGGGAAACATTCTTCCAGAGAGTATACTAATGACCCCTGTTTGTTTCCCTAATGATTCAAGGCTCATCCACTGCAGAGTTCCACGGGATTTACAGAGGGCCTCTCCCGAAATTTAATTTTAAACCTAATTTTAAAACCCGGAGAAAAGAAGTCCGTCAAAGTAAAGTTTACTCCAGTTCACAACAGAACTGTTTCTTCCCTAATCATAATCAGGTATGTTCTGTGATTTAAGTGTGGGTTGATTTTTAATACTTACATAGAGTCCTTACTTAATTTGTTTCAATGTTAGTTTGCATGTCTAATTTATGAAATAGGGTATTCATTTTGTCCAAAATACACGTGCATACACCATACCTGATGAAGCATACCATTGTGATTATGTTCTTAGCTGAGACCTGAATAGTGTCTTACTGTACCATGTGTGACTCTTAAAAGTGAAAAATTCTTGGTCTTCTCTATATTTTTAAATGTTTGACATGTAAATGTTTTACTTTTAAATTTAGTGTATTAATTTCTATGTGGTTTATGAAGTAACAGTAAAAATACAGGCTAAAATATTGTGCATATTTAACGGAAGGAAAACCTGTGATTCTTATTCTTACGTAGAAATAACCTGACTGTGATGGATGCTGTGATGGTCCAGGGACAAGGAACAACCGAGAACTTGAGGGTGGCAGGCAAGCTTCCGGGTCTAGGGAGTTCCTTACGCTTTAAAATCACAGAAGCATTATTAAAAGACTGTACAGATAGTGAGTATTCCTAATGGATCCAAGGGCACAAATTTCAGCATTTGTTTCCAACAGTAAATAATTCCAAAAAAAAGAGCAGTATCTCTGTGTGTACACATGGGTATGTTAGTGATGGTTCCTTAATCTTTTAAGGGAACACCCTGACTTGCTTTCAGAGTTGTTTGGTTTGGATCTTAAAAGATTTAAAGTGTTAGTATTCATTGCACGCTGTAGATAATTTACTCTGTGAAAAAAAAAGGCATAATTAAACATGTGCCATCAAAGATGACTTACCAACATGGAGTGCTTCCTGATGAAATCTGGGTCATGGCTGATCTCTGTGGCCTAAGGAGCCAGTTCATAATCTCTGGCACGCATTCCTGAAGAGTGTATTATAATCGCTTGGACCTGACGCACAGGACAGCAAGAGTTTACACTTACTCACTTTTTTCCTTCAGGTTTGAAACTAAGAGAACCAAATTTCACATTGAAAAGAACATTTAAAGTAGAGAACACAGGACAACTTCAAATTCACATAGAAACCATTGAAGTCAGTGGGTACTCGTGCGAGGGCTATGGCTTCAAAGTTGTTAATTGTCAAGAGTTTACACTAAGCGCCAATGCCTCTAAAGACATCATCATACTGTAAGTATTTTCTCTTAAGATAATGAGCAATCTCGGAAGATAACGAGATCATTTTCTTGTAAGATAACTTCTCATTAACATTTTATACTACAGCTGTTCAAACTCTGTGCTAAGATAGGTTTCATACTATTAAAACAGGCTGCACCTGTTGCCGACGTAGGCATTGAAACTGTCTTCTGACCAAAGTTTAGAGAAACTGCACAACATGGAGAAGCAGCACGTGTGTGACTCAGGGTCTGCCCTGCCACTGTGACTGAGCCCACGGTCAGTCACAGCCCTGCAAATAACTCTGAAACTGGTTTTGAAGACTATCTGATTCACTCTGGAGATTAAGGGAGTTTCACAATTTGGAAAACAAAGATAAGAAATAACCAAAGATAAAGTGAAAAAAAATCGAATGAAAACATCTGTGGATAAAGACCTTTCTCCAAACTTCGGTCAGAAGACAGCTTTAATACCTGCATCGGCAATAGTTGCAGCCTGTTTTAACAGCTGACAACTTGTTATAAATAATAAAATGTAACCTCTGTCCCCTTAACTGAACGGTAATTTTGTGATCTTCAGTGGACATTTACTTAATCAGTAACCACGTTACTCCATGTAGGAAGTAATGCTTGGCACCTGGAGGCACAGTGAGGCGTAAGGCACCTTTCCTCAAGGAGCAGATCCCGCGGTGTAGAGCTTACAGTTCACAAAGTAGAAGTCAACATAAAACAACGGGCAGGAGGCAGTACTGCAGGAGATGAATGTCAGCAGGGCTGGGATGGTTTTCTTAAAAAAAGGGAAAAAGACATTGTTAGGGATGTATCATGGGGGAAGAGTGTGGATTATATAAAGGGGGTAGAGGGAAAGAAGCTCGGAGACTACTTTCTGAAATGATAATTGTGGGAAGTTGATTATTATTCTTTTTTATGTAATTTCTCCAACTAGCCAATTAGGATATAGTTGCTTTTATTATTAACCACATAGCACAAGATCTTGTCCATCTTAAAACGAGAAAGTCGTGTAAAATATGCAACTCTAAAATTCTATGTTATGTTCCAAAGGCATTATGTTTAAACTGCCTGCGGTCTATTTTTAAAACGTAGTCTTAACTGCCAGTCGTTCTGTTTCAGGTTTACTCCTGACTTCACAGCTTCTAGAGTTATCCGTGAACTGAAGTTTATCACGACCAGCGGCTCTGAGTTTGTGTTTGTGCTGAACGCGTCCCTTCCGTACCACATGCTGGCCGCCTGTGCGGAGGCCCTACCCAGGCCCAACTGGGAGCTGGCTCTCTACATCATCATCTCAGGGATAATGAGGTACTTGTGTCTTCTTCCCAGGCCGGCACTTAGGCATCACTCGACACTGTTCATCGCACGCCAGGCAGTGTTCTGAGAGCTGGGTTCCACCAACGCGCAGCACAGACAGACCTCTCTGCCTTAGTCAAGCTTGCACACAGCCGTGGGAGCAGTCAGAACTGAACTTCATGGGTGGCAAATACAATAAACCAAAGTCTTTTCTGCCTTTGAAATTTGTTATACAAATTAAGTACAGGTCAATTTCTTAAAAAAAGCACTCATAGTTTACCAGGCCATAATTTGATCTGGGCATATATAATTTACTCAACATAATACTTTGTTCTTCTTGAATTATACCTAAGCAACATGAAACTGAAAATGTGAAAATATCTTAAAAACCTTCAGCATCCTCATCTTTTTTCAGTGTATTTATGTATATGCTTTGAGAATGAGATAAACTCACCTCTGAATTACTTGACATAGGTTACCCTGTACATCCTTTAAGGGAAAAGAGTTGACCTAGAGAGTTAGAACTAAAAAAGATAAGAGCTGCTTCTTGGTAAAAGAAAAAGTATCCTCCGGTGTCTGTTGTGATACATGATATTACTTCCTCCATTAGCCTCTGTGTGAGTTGGCACTCAACAAAAATCAGTGTGCAAACTTCTATTCGTAATGCTTCCTTGTCTTGTCACAGGCATCTTGCTTTTTGTATCATACTGTACTTTGCCAAGAAACTCTGCCTTTAGCATCATATTTTGTTACTTTTGCACTAACAAGTGAACCCCGATTCTCCACTTTGTGTACCCCTGCAGTGCACTGTTTCTTTTGGTAATTGGAACAGCCTATTTAGAAGCTCAAGGAATTTGGGAGCCATTTCGAAGGCGATTATCCTTCGAGGCCTCGAACCCGCCCTTTGATGTGGGAAGACCGTTTGATCTCAGGAGAATCGTTGGTATTTCATCTGAAGGAAAGTATGTTCACCTGCTGGAAATAAATTCCCTAATATGCATAGATTTGGCCAGTGTAATTAAAAGAAATAAGTTTTTTCTTTTCATCTGTGCTGGAGTGAGGGATCTTAATAAGACCCTGTGTGTAGTTCTCAGTTACTAAGGACTCACAGCAAATACCATGTTTTTATTATAGTGATGATGGTTAAAATATTCTTAGTTCGATCAATGACTCAATTCCTCAGTTTTCAGATAGAGCAGACTCAACAGAGTTGTGAAACGTATTCTGTTCCTCGCTGTTGTTTCCTCAGGAAAGTTCACATTGGTGGTAGCTGTACCAGTGAAATAGTTTTTTTAACCTTAGATGTTGTAAGTTGCTATTGCTGATGTGCAGTTGGTCCTTTTTTCAGCTTGAACACACTCAGCTGTGACCCCGGTCACGGCAGGGGTTTCTGTGGTGCAGGAGGCACTGCTTCCCGACCTGGTGCAGGGAGTCACAAGCAGTGTGGCCCGTCCGTCCACCCACACAGCGGCCACAACAATAGAAACTCAGCTGACGTGGAAAACGTCAGAGCCAAAAACAGCACAAGCACCTCTAACAGGACTAACGCCCAGTCGGCCAGCAAAGCCAGCCCCCTCGTCCTAGATTCAAATGCAGTGGCCCAGGGGCACGCGGCCGGCAGGAAGTCCAGAGGGGCCAGGCAGAGCCAGCACAGCAGCCAGCACCATGGCCACAGCGCGCTGGAGCAGCAGTCCCCACCGCCGCCGCCACCGGGGCCTCCACACCAGGACCCCCAGCCTGAGAGACTGTCGCCTGCACCCCTCGCGCACCCTCCCCACCCAGAACACGCCAGCAGCACGAGGCACAGCTCCGAGGACTCGGACATCACCAGTCTCATAGAAGCCATGGACAAAGACTTCGACCACCACGATTCCCCGCCCCTCGAAGTGTTTACAGAGCAGCCGCCATCGCCACTGTCAAAAAGCAAAGGTAATCACCCATTCTCGAAAGCCAGTACGTAATTAAGGGGCTTTCGTGATTGTCATTGTGGTAAACAACTAATGTACGTTCTTCGGGCTCAAATACATCTGTGCTGTTGGACTTCAGCTTGTCTGTCTGAAGACGCAAATAGAGGAACCCGTCTGTCATAAAAGGTATTTTTGTTCCTTAGGTTGCTTACCAGATTCAGAAATTGATTGGACTTGTCCCGTTGTCTTTGTCAGCTGCCTGTGATTATTGTGTGGTGGCAGGTTGAGCTTTTTTTTAATTGTTAAAATTTTTGACGTAGTGGTAAAAATGGAGATCATCTGCCTTTTAACTCAAAACTAGGATTCCTGCACACCTGTGCTTTAGAGCAGGGGTTGGCAAGCTGCAGCGGGTGGGCCAGGTCATGTCTGGTGCCCCAGCCGTGCTCGTTCACTTCCACGTTGCCTGTGGCTGCTATTGAACAGCGGCAACAAGGACCCTAAGGTCCACAAACCTGAAAATATTTACTGCCTAGCCCTTTACAGACAGAGTTTGCTGACCCCCACTTTAGAGCTCTTCGTACTATGTTAGTTATCTGTTTCTCCAAAAAAGATTACCCTGAAACCTAGTGGCTTCGGACCCCACCACTTACCCCAGAGTTTCAGGGGTCCAGCATCTGGGTGCAGCTTAGCCAGGCTCTCAGGCTCCCATAAGCCTGCAGTTAGGGCGCTGGCCGGGCTGAAATCTCCTTCAGGTTCAGCTGAAGGTAGATCTGCTCCAGGCTCACTCAGGCAGTTGATGGCAGGATTCAGTTCCGCACAGCCTGTCCCACTGAGGCTCTCAGTTCCTTGCTGACTGTGGCCAGCAGTCTGCTGGGTCCTCTCCACGGGGCAGCTCAAAGCGGTTGGCTTTACCAGAGCCAGCAAACAAGAAGGCAGGAGAGAGAACAGGCTGGCAGGACAGAAGTCACAGTCTTCTGTGACCTACTCTTGGAAGTGACCTCCCATCACTTTTGCAGTGTTCTCATTAGAAGTGTGGTCCAGCCACACTCCAGGAGAGAGAATCCCATGCGAGCATATGGTGGGGACCTGTGCGAGGCGTCTTAGAAGTCTGCGCACCGCCTGTGCGTAGGCAGGCGCCTTTATAACTTCCAAAGTCAAAATATGAAAGACAGTAAATGGCCTCTGGCTGTATTGCATTTTCATTCCTGTACAGCCTGAGCTTCTTTGCCTCTTCCTTCCTCTCTGGTGGCGGCTGTGCTAATGCATGTCAGTCTGAGCCTATTCAGGTGCCTCCCTCACTGACAGACCAAGGAGCTTTTGCCGTTGGTTTACACAAGGAACAGGGAACGCGGCAGCCCCGAGAGGCCAGAAGAAGCCTGACGTTCCAGAGTCCGAGAGTTCTCTCTCAGAGAATTTCTTAGTCCCAGTGATGTGAAGACTCGTCTTGTAGAGCCCTCTTAGAATTACATGCTTTTGGATTTGTAAAACAGTAAAATGTCTTGAATGTTATTTAACTTCTTCCACAGAAATCTTTTTTGTTGTTGTTATCTCATTATTAATAGAGATTACATGTTTTAGAGTAATTTTTATAATAATTTAAATGAATGCTTGAAGTTCCTTTTTTAATTAGATCAGGTTACCTAGTGTGTTTTTCCCTTATTGAGAGCATGAGTAAAATAAGGATTATTATCCTTTCTTGCCGCAAGGAGACGCCTTAGCAGTCAAGGTGAAAACCTCGTTGTTTGCGTCTAAGATAGTCTTCCAATGTCAGTGCAATGGGGCCGTTTTTATTTTCAAGGTCATTCATCTAGAACATAAATTTAAAACTTTTTAAATGTATTTTAATTTTCACAGTAGTCCTAGAGTCGACCTACTAAAAGATGTTTAATGATGGAGCTTGGGTACCACGTTATCAGTGATTTTTGAGCCCACAAGGAGACAGTGGTCACAAGTGTCACATGAGCAGCCACTGCTCTTGTTACCCTTCCCACCGCTGCTGTTCGAAAACAAGGAAGAAGCCAGATCTTTTTATTTTTTCTTCAAAAAGTGTTTTTATTGAAGTATAACATATATAAAGAAAACCAGTCTTTTAAATGAACTTTAAAAGATGGGCATTAATCTTGAGGTTGCAAAATACTGGTATATCATAAAAGCTTAGGCTTTTAGCTGGGGAGAGCTTTTATGATCTCTCTAAAGCTCCCCACCACGCCCCTGCTGAAATAGTCATGGTTACATTGAATATAAACCTTTGCAGACGCACCCTGTTCTCTCCCCCACCCCCAATATTTCACATGTAAAGAAGTCTCCCTTTGTGATGAGCTTCAGTAATGTCTAGCTTTTGGAGACTATTCAGAAGGACCTCTCTTCAAATGAATGTGCTCTCCGTAGGCCTTGCGCTCTGCGGGCGGTCTGCTCACGTGGCTAGTCATCCCTCCGGTCACTGTTCCTCATGGAAGATGGCACCCAGAAGTGCCCTCTGGTCGTGGCTGGCCTGAGCAGGGCCTTTGCAGCTGGACAGTGATTAGATTCTCTAGTTTTGTGGTTTCTCCTCCCATCACACGTGAGCCCTGGGGACTGGACAGAGGCAATGGCTGGGCTGAGGGTTAAAACCCGGAAAGCTTTGAGCGTGGTGCCGCCGTTCTCAGTGTCTGCAGTAACTGCAGAAACGTGGACTCTGCCGCCCTCCCTGTCTCTGCCCTTGGCGGTTGGAGGCGTGGCTGTCTCTAGGGGAAGGGGACGCGGAATGGGAGGGGGTCACAAGGCCGGGCTCTATCTTCGGGCAGACCCAGGTCAGATCCTGGCTCTGCCACTTTCTGACTGTGCGATCTGGAGACACTTACTTCTCTGAGCCTTTGTTTGTTATCTTTAAAGGGGAGAGAATAGCTGTTTCTCACTTGGTAGGGTGTGGGCACTATTGTGATTTTTAGGGCAGGAAATGGTGCGTGCTGTCGTTAGCCAACTGAGTTGAAGGTGGCTGTGGAACATCCCAGCAGAGAGGCCTGCTTGGAGCTTGGTCTGGGAGTGAGAAATGGGATAAGCAGAGAGACCTGGGAGCTCACGGCCCCTCATAGAACCCTCGGGAACTGTGGATGTTAGAATGCAGGTGTTCAGGAAGGTAGATGAGGCTTATGCCCTGTGATTTGTCAGCATCTCGCATGTGGTCAGTTTCGGGTGTGCCACCTGAAGCTTCCTCGTCAAGTTTTGTTTCCAGACGAGTTAGGGAGAAAAAAGCTTGAAAGCTTTTTGGATTTCAGAGTGACTGGTAAGAGACTGTCCACCTGACCTGTACCAGGCCTGGGCCCGGGTGATGGGAGGTTGAGAGTTCAAGGGCATCCGTGAGTTGGTGCTGCCCCCCCACCAGGAAGACTGGGACTCTGCAGGCTGCGCTGCTGAGGCTGGGCAGAGCACGTGGGCCTGCGGTGTGTGTCGAGGGTCCCAGGGGCCTAGATCTGATCAGTCACCCCTCCTGCCTTCTGGGTCTCCTGCCAGGGGAACAGACAGACTAGATGTAGAGCTGGAATTAAAAGTCCACCCTAAACACTCTTCCCTCCAGGGCGTCTGCTGAGTTGCAGTAGGTTTGCTTTTGAATACCCATGATATTTTATTTCTAGAATAAACAAATCCAAAATCTGATGGAATGTGATACTTTTATGAAAACCCTAAATGATTGCACTCTGTACGATATGTAGAGTTTCAGCCGTGCAGCCTTTTTTCTTAGTCCTGTGTACCTTGCTGTTTCTGCTTGGTGCTGCAAATGGTACATGCAGCCATCCAGGGATACAAGGAAAAACTAGGACAGAGGAGAGCGTGGGTCTGCTCAGGCATTCATTATTAACTCCTTCCTGGGATAAATGTGAAATTTTTTTCATTTAAGTTTAAGTAAATTCTTTTCTACCTTCTAGCGGACTGTATCTTCACGATCTAAGCACAGTATTAATAACACAACATAATGCTCGCTATGCATTTTTGAAAGCAATATTTACTTTAGCTTGAACTCCTGAAGAGTTTTCTTTATGTACATTTTCTGTTATGTTTTAGGTTTTACAAAATTATGACAGAAAAACATGATCCCACTGTGATTACATCTTCATTCTCAGGAAAACCAGATTAGACGTCCAAGGTGTCATGATAGATATTTTAACATAATAGATTCCAAAGTTTGCTTTCGCTTGTCTTCATTCTGGCTTCAGTCTGACAAGCGTCCTAACCATTCTTTAAAACACGAGTCAGCGACCGCCTTAGGCTTTGCGGGCCGCTTATTTCCGGGGCAGCCTGTTCAGCTGCGCCATGTGGTGTGCGGGGAGCAGAGTAACAGACCAGGGGGCTGCGTCCCGGCAAACCTGGACTCACAGAAGCAGGGCTGGATTTAGAATGTCAGACCCATCTGCTCAGACCGAGGGGGCTACGTGAATGAAGTATTTTTTAAATTAAATAAAGTGAAAGAAGTCTATGGTCCAGCCCGTTTCCGGACTTGGGGCAGCAAATCTCAGAGCAGGTCATGTTGTTGGTGTATTTCACTGTTCACAAAGGCACAAAACTCACTTCTGGAGCTCAGCAGACACTGGCTGAGCACTGGCCTGTGCTGGGCATGGCAGGCACTGAGGCTGGAGAGCTGGGCGAGACCTGATCTCCACCCTTTGGCTGCTAAGACTGTATGAGGGGTGGAGCCAAGGGGGCATGTGGTGACCGCAGTCAGCTCGCATCCTCAGCCGGGAGTCTGCTGGATGGTGGTGGGCATGGGCAGACAGAGGTGAGTGGCCTCGGGGACAGTCCATCAGGCAGTGGTGTGATGCCTGAGGAACCTGTCGCCCATGCTGGGTGTACTCCGCCTTTGATCACGGCTGGACACATAACTCAGTTTTACTAAGCTTCTCCCTGCAGTTGTACCGTCTTTATTTGGATGGGTTTGTTGTTATTACTGATTATGCACCAGTTAAGTCATGGTTCCCATCCAGCTAGGAGAACTTCGGTCTCCTCCAATGAGTTAGTTTATCTCTGAGAGGGCTGTCTCCCTCTGAATTCTGATTCCTACTCCCCGGGGTCCCACTCTTTCTTCTGTGTCCTGGCGACAGTGTGGAGGTGGGAACTGGTGCTGTGCAAACTGAGTGTTCCCCAAGGGGTCAGGGTTGGGCATAAGGACGGGGTCAGACAAGCAGACTTGGAAAGATAGATGGACGGTAAAGGAGTTGGAACCTTATCCTGTAGGAAACAGATAGGATCAAATTCTTATTTTTAAAAAGTGTTTCAAAAAGAAAGCAGTGTCATTGGCAGTGTGGAGGGTTTAGGAAGAGGGGCCAGTACAGTGGGCCTGGCAGCAGGTGCAGTCCGGGTGGAGACATGGCAGTGGGGCTGAGGTCAGAAAGGTATTAGAGATTTCAGAGATAGAATCCATTTGATTGATGTGAAACAGATCATTTCATCCAGGTGACTCAGAACTGCCCCAGTTCAACTCTGCACTTACCTTTTCTCCTGAGACTCCCACGGGATGTGCATGCACAGAGGCCGTGAGAGATGGGAAACAAGGCGGCGTCACTGTGAGCAGATCTTGTACCTGTAGTGCCTAACATAACGCTCTCATAAATCTATGTGGGATTTCCAGCCTAAGCCAAGGGTCTACATACATTACAGCCACCCAGAGGGCTTGTTGAGACCAATTGCTGGTCCCACCCCGAGTTCTGGTTTAGTACATCTAGAGTGGGGCCTTAGAATTTGCATTTCTAACGAGTTCCCAGGTGAGGCTGACCCTGCTGGTCTGGGAGAACACTTTGAGAACTGCTGATCTAACAAAAAAATGTAAAGGGTCTCTTGTTTCCCAAAAGCCCAGTCTTCCTACCAGAAACCAGCTTATGAGGAAGAGAAGAGACCCTTGGGAACAAGCTTGCCTGAGAAGTCACTTTCTTACATCAGCCCCACTCCCAGTGCCAAGAGGGAGGCAGGGGCCACCGCAGAGTGTGCAGCCTCGCAGAGGGCATGGGCCCTGCTCGCGGGTAAACGTGGGCCTGTCCTCCTCAGTCTGTTCTCGCCAGATGAGTAGCCCTTTCTCTGGGGAAAGTGCACTCTCCTCTCCCGCCGACTTTTGAACTTAGGAACAGAAGCAGCAGAAGAAACAGCATGTGACAGTGAGGTTGCTGAGAGCCTGGGTGAGTGGGTTGATGTCGATACTGTAGAGCAGTGATTCTCAGCCTGGCCACACAGTCAAACCGCCAGAGGAGCTTGTTAAAAAGATACCCACACCTGGGTCCCACTGAGAGCCATTTCATCGGAATCCCTCAGGGGGGAGCCCACAGCAGCTTTTGTTAAAAGCTTTTAACAAAAGCTTCCGAGGTTATTCTAAAGTGCAAGAACCGTTATTACAGACGGAGAACCCAAAAGATGTTGCTAGGATATTTAACTCAGATTGGGACATTTTAGGTTTGAATTGCTTATGTCAAATTAATTAAAGTTGAGCCCCCAGGGAGACTATAAAGGGAAAGAGAAGTTCCAAGGGCAGACCTCTAGGGAAAAACAGCAAAGATGAAGCCAGTTTTCAGAAGAATCACAGTCCCAGAAGAGGGTGATGATGTCAGGGTCCAGCGGGGCAGGGAGAGGAGTATTGCACGGTGTCCAGTGGAACTGAGAGGGCTTGTAGAATGAGGAGTGCTCGGGTCACCAGCATTGACAGTTAAAGGGGTTGTTGTCGAAATCACATTCTTTAAGGTGCTGGAGACAGATGTGTCCAGTACAGCATATTAAGAAGTTAATAAAAGATGAGGATTTGGAGGTAAAAGTATAAAATTTTGAAATAAGCTTTTTTTTAGCCAAGCTTTCGGCTTAACTCCTGGTTTGTTACATGTTTTTTCTCTTTTATTTGTACATCTGTGGCTTCAAAATTTGAGTCTAGTTCTTTTTTTTTTTAATCACTTTCAGCCATTTCCTATTTATTAAAGAGGTTTCAGGTTATTGTAAATACAGATCATTTATACAGGTAATGCCTCTCACCCAGTGAACCTGAGCAGGATGAAAATGTGTAATTTCAGGTGAGAAATGTCCTGCACAGGGGATTCGTGTTGGCCATGCAGGAATATCTGAAGTGCACTCAGCACAAACTGTTGGACCCCC